TTGATAAGACTTCGGAAACTCTCAAACTCAATTCCACAGCCGGCGCAAATGTTGCGGTCTAGAACAGGCTTTAGCTTTCCAGGCACATTTGACGGTTTGTCCTTGAAAAAATCGGATATCTGACGATCAATCAAGCGTCTTCTTTCAACTCGTGAACTAAATCGTGGTTTTGTGAAATCATAAATTACTCCAGGACTTCTATTTGCCTCAAACTTAACGGCCGAGTTCTGAACTCTCTTTGAAGCCGTTGGTGATTTTACGACAGTGTTGCCGCTAAAAATTTCAATTTCAGAACCAGAATCCGACGTACTAACGATAAGTTCAGCTGTCGTATTATGGCAGTCCGTTTCAGGCGACTCTTCAGTAGAACTAAAAATTTCTATAGCTTTGTCGTCGGCGGTTCTCTTTTCTTTTTCTTTTGATTCTTCATCTTCGTTCAATTCTGAATCTTTAGTCGTATCTTCATTCGTTACTGAATTTTTATTTATATCTTCACTTGTTCCAATGATGACTTCATTGACTTGCAGATCTAGGTTCGCTGGTGCAGCTTTTGAAGCATTCAATTCTTCAGATTTCTTCGTTTCTTCAAAATCCTCGTCCAAGTTCAATTCTGAATCGTTGCTTGCGTCTTCATTTGTCGTTATGATGGGTTTATCGAGCTGCGAATCTGGATTCGGTTGGTCGTCATTTGAAGCTAGGTTGCCCGACGCTGAAACTTTATCGCTGATATTCGAATCTTCATTTATGGCTGCAGTTTTGAACTTTTCATTGCACAAAAAACTAAGGCTTTTATCGGATAGCGCGCATTCTTCCACGGCCGAATTATCGGAAGCTGTACTTTTTGGTACTGGCGTCAGATTGTTCACAGATTGCAGTTTATTGCCTGTTTTTGCGCATTTAAAATCTGCTAAATTATCCAGGACACCACTGTCGATAATAACAGAGGAACTCCAGATGGTACTTCCCATTCCAGAATCTATTGAGGTTGAATCTTTGGACGATGAACAACTTGGACGTTCAGAATTGGAAAAGTTTGAAACGTTAGTCGAAACTTCGGAACCACCATCTCGTTCTAGAGACCTGAAAAAGTTTTCAGCTGTTTTGGTGTCGTTTTTCTTCTTTCTCTTCCGTCTTTTATGAGGCGAAGATTCATCATTCAGTCTTTTTCTATCCTTCGAAATTGTTTGTTTCTCGGGCCTCTTAGTCTTCACAGCTACAGGTTTTCGTCTCGGAGCAGTCGAGCAAGAATTCCCTGCCAAGTTGCTTCGATAGATTGAAGGAACCAAGTGTTTAAAAAGCCAACTGCTCGAGGAGCTAAGTGATGCAGAGTTGCTAGATGATGATAAAACAGATGGTTCGTTTGGAACCTCAACGTCATCTGTCAGTTCGTCTAGGGGTTCCGACTTGCATGTCAAAGGCTCCGCCAGACTGCGAACGCATGTCACTTTAGGTTTATCAGATTCCTTTTCTACACTGAGTTGAGAACCAGTTTGACTCGCCGATTCCACATTTTTCGCCCGATTCTCTGTCGCTTTTTTCAGCGCTTCTGAATGCTCTTGGTACAAATGACTTTTTATTTCATCTCTTGTTTCGAACTGTTTTTTGCACAAATTGCACGTTTGAAGAAGCGGTTCCGTTTTGGGATACTTGGGTAAAGCAGGGTCAGTACTAAGAAGATCTGAGGCAACGAGTTGCTGACAAGAACTTCCCAGAATAAAAGGTCGCGGTTGATATAAAGGCTGAGTCAGATGTCGTACAAGCTGTGGCGGTTGTCGACACTGGTTGAAAAATTGCCTCGACGGCTGGGATACTTTAAAAGTAGCTCTTGGTCTGAAATAATTAACCGGGAACTGTGAGTTTTGGTTTGTTTGGCCAGCAAACGCAAGGTATCTGTTAACTAGCTCGGGAGCGCCAAAATTATTTACAACTTGAACGTCTATATTCTGGTGGACCACTACATTTGGAATCACGTGATGATTTGATTTGTCGGAAGATACATAGACATTGGACTGCTGGCTTTGATGCTGTTTCAAACTGTCACTTGTTTGAATGACAGAGCCCTGTGGTTTACTCGGGAACGATGTCATGCGACCCTTGAAATCAAAAAAAGACTTCATCAATCAGAACTTTGCGAACGAAGAGAAAAGTTTTTCAAAACTAAGAATATAGATACAACTTTTGCCGTATCATATCAAGGAAGAAAAAATTGACAAATCTCAAACCAAAACAAGGATAGCCCGTTGCTGTGCAAGTAGCACAGAATTTTCCGACCACATGCATAAAAAACTTTCTTCACAAAAGTTTCGTTTTTTGCCTGTGAAGGGAAGGAAGAACTATACGATGATGTAAAAAAAATTAATGCATTAGGCTTAATCCACAACAGCTGTATTCAAAAAATTAATAACAAACAAAAATGAAAAAAAAAACCTAAAAAAAATTAAGACTTTTTTGATAATTTATAATTTTTTTTATAAAACTTTTTTGCCAGGGAAGCGCTAACTTAGTAAAATCAAGTTTTCTGAGCCTAAACGAGCGCTTTTCATATAAAGGAGGTTACTCGATTGTTTTTATCGAACGAAATTAGACTGAAAATAAAAAATTTCGAGCCTGTTTTTCTGGACACTGAGAAAAAAAAAGAAAAACTAAAACACGCCCGACTACAAAATTTCTCCCCATTTTCAGCGATAGCGACAAAGTTAGCAAAGATTGTCTGAGAGTGTTAGCAAAATTCATTAGCATTAGTTAGCGGTAAAAACGAAGATTTGCGAGCTAGGGAAAACGCTAACTTGCTAGCGATTTTTAAAAGTATGTTCGAAAATGATTGAAAAAATTCATCCGTTGTAGTATCTTTTTGTCAAATCTGTTGAAGAAAAAAACAATAGCATTAAAATTATTTCGATTGCGACTACCCGACAGTGGTAACAACTGAATCGCGGAACTCATTTGTTCGGGATATCCAGCTGAAGAATTTTAAAGGATTCTAGATGTCATTAGCGATAGCGACAGCACAATGCTGATTTAAATTATCCGGACAAAATGAACAACATAGGAAACTTAAAATGGGTTTTCTCAAATTGCGATGATATTGGACTGAAAAAAAACTGACTTGTAATTTGAAAAAATCATTCTTTCCAATATCCAACAAAGTAAAATAGATGGCCCTTAGACTTTTTGAATTACTTGATTAAATTATGATGGGCAATTTTGATAAAATTAACACAATTTGAGAAAACTGAAACAATAGCTAAAATTTTTATTTCGCTGGGAAATCTGCTAATTAAATTCTATTTTCGAAACAAGAAGTCGATGACATTTTTCGTGACCTTTACACTTTGGCTATTCAAAAACAAAGAAACTGAACGGATTTTAACATAGGCAATCGAAGATTGGAAAAGAATAATGAACGCAAGTAAACATTAAAAAACACTAACTTTGTTGAAAAAATCTCAATTTTCGAATTTCAAAGAAAAAAACAGATGCACTTTAAGCTCTTTGAATTTCTAGAACGATTTGTGATTGGTGCTTTTCGCTTTTTTGATAACATTAACCCAACTTGAGAAAACTGGATCAACAGGTAAAGTTTTTATTCCGCTGGAAATCTAAAAATTGAATGCCACTTTCGAAACTCGAAATCGTTCACGAACTTTTCACGTTCGTAATTGGAGAGTGCTATTTACGTCACTTTCATCAGATGGATTTCATTTGAACTCAAAAAGTTCAGATATACATAAGTGCATCAAAATCAGCAAGACCTTTATAAGAGTATTCACTACGTTCATTACTCTTAAAAAAAGAATTTGAAAGTCAAACCACAACAAAGTAAACTTAAGCCTGAACAAATTTTAGGTTTTTCTCCTGAAAAAAAATGATTGCGACCTATTTAAGAGTCTGAACTACGTTCATCGACTCTATATCAGCACTGTATTTAGCAGTAGCGAAGCGAAATTTAGATTGATGAAAAACGATAAGCGTTTAGCAGTTTTCCATGAGCAATCACATCTTTGGATGAAACATAAGATGTCAAGACGAAGATGACTTTTTAAAAATATACTTAACCGTCAATTTCTAATTGATTCTAAACACTATGTGCAAAGATGAGCATTTAAAAATTGTGCAAACAGAAAAATGCATTCACAACTAAAAGTTTTTGCAGATCTAACATTTGAGCCCCAAAAAAAAGCCTCCAAAAACAAATTCGCACACGAAGAAACAAACACGCGACTTTCCGCTTTTCATTCAAACAGAAATTTCCACTGTAACACGGGGTCTTCTGCACGTTTTAGCTGTAAAGACAAACACTCGTCCAATTCGTTGATGTATATTACTCTGGAAAACTGAAAAATTCAAGCCAGTTTTTCTCAAAACATAGAAAACTTTTTTGAAACCTCGGGACAAAATTCAATTATACTCTCAATTATACTTAATAATTGGGTGCTATATAACAATAGATGGCAGATTCAAGTTAAATAGCCGGATCGCTCTTTGTTAAACTTCGAACAGAACTTATAATCCAATTGAAGGCCAAACTATCTAGTAGCAGAAGAGTAAAATTGTTGAAAACCGTTTCATCTGGCAGAATAACGTATTTACAAAAACTAAGAAACTACAATCGTAGTAGCAAGTTCAACTGACTGAAAAGGAAACGAATATATTATGCATTTTAGTTCTCAAGTATAATACAGTCACAACTCTAATAGCTCTCTAAGTTGCCACTTATTGTAATACTTTTCCTATTTTTGGATATCAAGTAGCAAATCATACCCTTTAAAAAACTGGTACAGCTAGATTATGCTGTTTAATTAACGCATAAACATTGCGCACAAAAACGTGCGACTTTGGTAGAAAAATGGACTGATTTTAAAACACTACGCCCGCAAGTACACTTGAGTAACCAAGCACGATTCATGCATCAAATCAACTCGTCATTTATTTGAGCACATATATGTGCATTTTCGTGCAGTTTGAGCTAATTTATTTACTTATCTGGTCGGAAAAAAACGTGTCTAAATCAACTGAATTGTTAAATTTATGGTGTTAGGTTTGTTATTTAGCAACTTGAAATTGATTCGATTGCTGATGCAGGCAGGTACTCTGTCATAATATCGATCTCGAACAGATTTCAGATGAACACGAGTTCACTTCGAGGCAAAGTATTTCGCATCATATTCGTAAATCGCCCCAAACGGATCGCAAACGAAACTTTCAGGCAAAATTTTGCAATACAGCTTCAAGATTTCATCATCTTGCGAATCGTTTGACTCTTTCCATTTATCTCTCTTCGAAGCGGTTAACTCGTTTTGCCTAGTATCTGTTGTTGTTGTTGTTTTCTTTGAATAGTGAATAAAAGGGTTGAATGTGTTGCCTGGGACTCTCTTGGCGACACTGCAAGACCATGGCGGAGATGTTTTGGAGCAGCAGAGGCACTCGGCAGTCAGAAAAAGAACAAGCAAGAGAAAAATACTTCCTAAAACATCACACGAGTTAAGCTCAGTATTACAGTATTATGTAAATAAGTTAAGCTCAGTAAATTTTTTGAAGCCTCAAAAATTGCATTTTTTCCGGCGCGCGCTCATCCCTCAAATTTAATTATATAGCCACCTTTAGAAAAAATAGAGGTTGGCCAGTCACAGATGGATGTCGTAAAATTATACCAAAGGGGGGACCCTTTGTGAAAATTTGGTAACCTAATTCAGGAGGTGAGGCGGTGTCCTACCCTCGGCCCGCTACAGGACAAGGTGTGTAAGTATGATGGTTATTCGGTTGTTCATGATGGCTATAAGCCGAGAAATTGACTTTAGAAATTGACTAAATTGAAAAATAGTTAAATCTATGGTTGTAACTATCATTCTATTCACAAAAGCCCCAAGACGAAAATGTGAAAAATCTGAATCATAAAACTGTTCCCTTAATGCATATTTCAAGGCAGACAACCGGCCAATAAATTGATATTAAAGAAAAACAACTTTTAAACTTACAATAGTTCGGAAAATTCATTCAGATTTTTGTTTGTTTCAGTTGTTCGCATTTTTCGTTAACGTATTTTTACAATTCTTGACCTTAACTTCGAATTTTGATAAGCAGAAAATTTTCCATCAATCCCAAAAAAAATTCACAAAAAAATCTACATACAAGACTATTGTCATAACACTACAGCAGCGCAATATAACTTTATTGCAATTCAGCTTTAGATGATTTCCGAGTAGGGACAGATCAAGGATTTTCTCGATGGTGCGGATTTTCAAAAAAAAAATGCAGGGAAACTTTTTTAAAAATACAGGCCACAAAAGACTCGATCGCGCTTTCCATTTAAATATTCGGCTCACGATGCTCCCTAAAAACAGGTATATAACCCCCGCCCCAAACCAGCATTTGTTCCCGATTAGGCTCTTATAAGTTTGTTGTCTGCAGTACAGTATAGGAGTAGATTAACACTTTTACGTACTATTACGACAAAGTTACTTAAATGATCAATGGAGATCTAAAACTTCAGGCCAATTTAAATTTGAAAGTTGCGCGAAAAAAGGAATATGATAAAAAAAATAGTGATGCGTTGACAACAATAGCGTGTATTGACAACAATGGATAATAAACAATAACAAACAACTAACCTTTTATCGGGAATGCGATGGTAGATCGTAATTGCAAAACAACTCCTCTCATCGTTTGTGACCGCTGTTGTTTTGTTGTTTCTTTCTCTAATGGCAGGTTTGTGCAATCAGCTTTCATCAATAATTGACAGTCGTTTTTTCGACTGCTACAAAAATATAACCGGAATTCCTTCCTTGTAGAAGTGACGTCACAAAATCATAATCATATAACATCAGATGAGGTGGATCCCATACTTAAATTATGATTCTTTTGTGTTTCGAGACTGACTATTGGTAGCGAATGACACTTGATTAATATTGTATGAAGTTGTGAATTGGAAGCCACTGGATTGAGTCCAAGAGGCTCAAGTCAGTCTAACCAGCGTATCAACATCACCGAACTGATCACCTTAGTTATTTAACTAACTCTTTCAAACCTCCCTAAATCCCTCCCACCCACTCCGAATTCTTTTAATAGACCTTCTATCCCAAAAGGGGGGAACCATTCAAGCCAGAAGAACCCGATGCCAATTATATTTCAGTATTCGAACAGTTGACACAAATGTGCTTGACAAACAGTCAGTTTTTGACAGATTATTCAGATTATAGGACACTGATTGGTTGAGATTTTTCGCGCATTCGGTAAAGTCCTCCTAGGAAAAGCCCTGCTCCCAAATACAACTAAAAGAATGTCCCTTCCCTCCCTTCTCAATAATAACTTGTACTAACCAGTTTAACTTGTTCCAATAAAGAGGTGACGAAAGCTCATTTGATAACTACTAGAGCATAAATGACTTTTATAAGGGTAGGTTTGATATGGATGATTGGGTGGGTGTTCTTTTACAGCTTAGGAAGCAAATATCTAAATGGTTTGATGCTGAAACACACCTGACTTGCTAGTTTATTGACTGAGCTATAAATTGGTTGATAATTATTACATTATTTAAAGTCTGTGAGCAAAATTAATCTAACTACCTACACACGTGTCAGTTGCAGGATGCTTGCTTGAAAAAGTTACTTGAATGGTTTCAATTAGTTTAAAATTTTTAAATCACTCAACACTTTGTTTGTATCGGTCGTGTTGATATTCGTGCTGTATCGGTTCCTGATAGTCTTATGCGCCAGATTATTAAAAGCAATTTCAAAAAAAAAATTAAAAAATCGATAAAAGAAGTCTGTATTCATAATAAGCATTATTAAAAGAAATTTCAAAAAATTTTTAAAAACTCGTCAAAGATTCGACAAAAGAAGGCTGTATTAATCATTAGCTTAAAATTTCAAATAAGTTGACTTATATCAAAAACTTTTGTAGGCGAAAAATTGCATTAAGTGACAATTTGTATGCTCTTCAAAACTAAACTTTGTGTTTTGCGTCTTCATTATACATGAAGCAGTTTTCCTTCGTTAACAACTTTTCCGGACTTTTGACGTCAACAAAGCTGAAAATATTTATAGTTATATTAGTTATTAGTTATATTAGATAAATTGGCACTAAATATATATTTTTTAAATGCATTGCTTATGTAAAGAATGTTCGAAAGCCTTATTCCATTTCTATGAGAATTCGCCATGCACATTTTTCATTCCAGAAGATGCTATTTGTATTTATGAAAACGCAAATCAGTTATTTTACAATCTCGAGTATTTTATCTCTAATTAATAAATTTTGTTTGTTGCTGTTAAGCGAACTTTACTACAGATTTTCATTCTGTTTTTATTAAACTGAAGACTTTTCTATTTCACGTTTAGAAATGAAACCAATAACGCAAACGCTTGTGTGCTGAGATCTTACAATTTTTACTTTAAAGTTAACATGTAATTCGAAGATGAGCAAATTTTTTTTCTTCTATCTGTTCTAACTTCTTCGAATTTGTTCTTTTGAGATAGCGCAAAAAAACGTTGTCGTTATTGCAAGTTGAGCAGAGTAGTTTTGTTTGCAGAATAGATCGGCTGATAGAAAATTTTGAAGGTATTCATCAACAGTTTTTGGGTTAAGAATATTCCTTGAAGAACAAAGTTGAGATAAACTTTTTTGGCTTCTTCATTACTGCCTCGCAATGTTTTGAAAAACGGCTTTTTATCATGATTTGAATTTTAGTGTGTTCAATGTCATTTTCTGAGCATTAATCCATTTTTATAACTCAATCAGTTCCTCAAGTAAATCTTTATTTTGTTTAGTATATAAAAATTATTATTCTCAACTGTGCCTGTTAAACAAATAAATCGTTGAAACAAAGTGAAAAGGACAGGCCCTAGTATTGAACCCCAGCCTCCGAAGACACAAATGCACAATAATCGAACTTCACCACAGAAACGCAAGTCATGAGGCGACAAAACTCAGAAAACAAATACACTAATCTTTTAAACAAGAAGAAAACATAGCCAACTGACAGTTGGAAAATAGTCAATGAACGCAAGTAAACGGAAAAAAAGTGACTATCAATTTGAAAAATCCCAACTTTCCAGTTTCCAAGAAAAAAAATAATTGCACCTACGGCTTTTTAAGTTACTGAAACAATTTATGATGGGCCCTTTTTTGATAAAATTAACACAATTTGAGAAAACTGGAACGATAGCTAAAAATTTCATTACGCTGGGAAATCTGCTAATTAAATTCTATTTTCGAAACTGGAAGTCAATCACGTTTTTTGTGACCTCTACACTTTGGCTGTTCGATGGTGGAGTAGGATTTCTTTAAACAGAGTCAACGAAATGAACTTACAAAAAAAATCAGAAGTTTAAGCGCGAAAAATTAAATTTGAGCCTGAACAAATTTCTAGACTTTTCCTGAAGAAAAAAAATAATCACGACCTATATAGCAGTCTGAAGTACGTTCATCGACTCTTAAAAACTGCGAAAAAGTGCAACTATAAATAAAGACTTCTGAGCTTCTTGACGCCATTTGCAACCTGGCAAGCCAGGATGTCGGGTCCACCACTTGAAGGCGGCGTCGTCTGGACCCAAAGAAAAATCTCTCCCCAGCACTACCCGCTGTAAACTCTCCCAACTCCGGTCTGGTTACAGTCAGCTTTTAAAAACATACCTCTCCCGACGAGGCAACAAAGTTTCCCCACTATGCCCGGACTGTCACCTAGCACCCCACACTAGTTGCCACCTTTTCAACTGCCCCAAGAATCCCTCCCCACTCACTCCCGCAGACCTGTGGCTTAGGCCGGTGGAAGTTGCGAAGTTCCTTAGCCTGGAGACGGACGAGCCCAACCCGACCAACGTGGGCTAATGAAAGAAAAAATACTAACAAATATAGTAGTTATATAACAATTAACTATTAACACCATTAAAGTTTTCGGAAAAGCACAATTAGTACTACAATTAGAAAAAACCTTTTCACGAAATTGAGCGAAAGAATTTTGAAGTGGCGCAGAAATCCATTACAATGCTTAAAAGGCCGGCTATTCGACGAACATGCTAATCCGTACTTTCTTCCCTCTCTACGTTCCTCTATAAGGATTGTTCATCAACAGAACGAATTAATGATACTAGAAGATCTTTTTGAATTCAAGTTCCAAAAGCCTTTCGAGTGAAACCCGCAGGCAAAACGCTGTTGATTTCACTCACAGGCAAGACAAACAACAAAATTTCATTCTCACTCAATTTACAACAGTTTCTGATGACCTTGAAATTGTTAAGAGACTGTATCCACTTATTCGAATTTTTCAAATCGTCATCATCTTTGCTACGTTTCAAATTGTTCGGGGTAATCACATTTAAATTACTCTGAGACGTTGAAATAACTTTCAGTGAACTGTCTTCAAATGTCAATATTGTACTTCCAATGGAGGGAGAGACCATTTGCTTCAACTCCGTCGCTTGAACTTTCTTACACCACTTTTTGTACCGCTTTTCCTGGAAATCGAACTCAAAATGCATGAAATCCGAATATTGCACGAAAAAAAAAATTAAATTAGTCGAACACGGAACTCAAATACCAGTGAAGTGAATAATGACAGTAAAATCTACTTGAGACTTGTCTGAAATAAATAAAACGAATTTATGACGAATTTTTTGAATTATTGTTTTATTAAACAAACAAATAAAAAAAATTAAATTAGTTAAACACGGAACACAAATACCAGTGAAATGAACTGTGACAGTAAAGTCTACTTGAGACTTGTCTCAAATAAATAAAACGAATTTATGACGAATTTTTTGAATTATTGTTTAATTAAACCAACATATAAAATAAAAAAATTAAATTAGTTGAACACGGAACTCAAATACCAGTGAAGTGAACTGTGACAGTAAAGTCTACTTGAGACTTGTTTCAAATAACGAATTTATGACGAATTTTTTGAATTATTGTTTTATTAAACCAACTATAAACTTTATTAAACCAACTATAAACTAAAAAAAAAATTAAATTAGTCGAACACGGAACTCAAATACCAGTGAAGTGAATAATGACAGTAAAATCTACTTGAGACTTGTCTGAAATAAATAAAACGAATTTATGATGAATTTTTTGAATTATTGTTTTATTAAGCCAACAAATTAAAAAAAATTAGTTAAAAAGGGAACTCAAATGCCAGTGAAGTGAATAATGACAGTAAAATCTACTTGAGACTTGTCTGAAATAAATAAAACGAATTTATGACGAATTTTTTGAATTATTGTTTTATTAAACCAACAAATTAAATAAAAAAATTAAATTAGTTGAACACGGAACTCAAATACCAATGAAGTGAATAATGACAGTAAAATCTACTTGAGACTTGTCTCAAATAAATAAAAGGAATTTATGACAATTTTTTGAATTATTGTTTTATTCAACTAACAAATTCAAAAAAATTAAATTAGTTTAACACGGAACTCAAATACCAGTGAAGTGAACTGTGACAGTAAAGTCTACTTGAGACTTGTCTCAAATAACGAATTTATGACGAATTTTTTGAATTATTGTTTTATTAAACCAACTATAAACTTCATTAAACCAACTATAAACTAAAAAAAAATTAAATTAGTCGAACACGGAACTCAAATACCAGTGAAGTGAATAATGACAGTAAAATCTACTTGAGACTTGTCTGAAATAAATAAAACGAATTTATGACAAATTTTTTGAATTATTGTTTTATTAAACAAACAAATAAAAAAAATTAAATTAGTTTAACACGGAACTCAAATACCAGTGAAGTGAACTGTGACAGTAAAGTCTACTTGAGACTTGTCTCAAATAACGAATTTATGACGAATTTTTTGAATTATTGTTTTATTAAACCAACTATTAACTTTATTAAACCAACTATAAACTAAAAAAAAATTAAATTAGTCGAACACGGAACTCAAATACCAGTGAAGTGAATAATGACAGTAAAATCTACTTGAGACTTGTCTCAAATAAATAAAACGAATTTATGATGAATTTTTTGAATTATTGTTTTATTAAGCCAACAAAAAAAATTAGTTAAAAACGGAACTCAAATACCAGTGAAGTGAATAATGACAGTAAAATCTACTTGAGACTTGTCTCAATTAAATAAAAGGAATTTATGACGAATTTTTGGAATTATTGTTTTATTCAACCAACAAATTAAAAAAAATTAAATTAGTTGAACACGGAACTCAAATACCAGTGAAGTGAACTGTGACAGTAAAGTCTACTTGAGACTTGTCTCAAATAACGAATTTATGACGAATTTTTTGAATTATTGTTTTATTAAACCAACTATAAACTTTATTAAACCAACTATAAACTAAAAAAAATTAAATTAGTGGAACACGGAACTCAAATACCAGTGAAGTGAATAATGACAGTAAAATCTACTTGAGACTTGTCTGAAATAAATAAAACGAATTTATGACGAATTTTTTGAATTATTGTTTTATTAAACAAACAAATAAAAAAAATTAAATTAGTTAAGCACGGAACACAAATACCAGTGAAATGAACTGTGACAGTAAAGTCTACTTGAGACTTGTCTCAAATAAATAAAACGAATTTATGACGAATTTTTTGAATTATTGTTTTATTAAACCAACAAATAAAATGAAAAA